GAATACTCAGAACGACCCACTTTCACCTGGGCACCAGCTCCGTTAGCAATCAGTGACCAGCAAGGGACTGAGGAGTCACTGAAGATAACAGATGTGTGGTGTTAGGCCACTACAGTTAGGTAAGACTGAGGAAGAAAAGGAGGTCATGGAAAGGAAGACCATCATGGAATGGGACTGCTGTGCTCTGAATCAGATCAGAGGCTGTGAAGGTGGGAGACAGTCCTAAGACCACCTTCACCTCTGAGTTTGAAGAAAATCCCCAAGGCCACCCTCTGATTTGCAAATTCATTAGAAAGACTCAGCCCTGGCTGAAAGCTGGTATGCTCACAGTTACAGTTTAGTACAGTGAAAGCTACACATTGAAGTCAGATTTAAGCTACAGACTTAGTCACCTTGTTTAATGTGACCCCAGGTCACAGCAAAGCCACCCTCACCAGACTTAACTTTCTAGTGCCTTTTGATCACCCCCAAGAGACCATCCTCTCAGGTTGAGATGAATTCTGTACAGCACAGGGCTACACTGATTTTGTTTTTTGTGTATTTCCACAATGTGTTATATTCACACATTTATAACTTGTCTTCAGAATAAAAAGAAAGTAGAGCATTTCACCTCCACCACACCAGTACAATACTTCCTACTTCGGAAGTCTCCTTATGGAGAAAGCTTTTCATCTATTGTGTATAGGCTTAGGGGTGTCTTGATGACGTAGAAAGCTCTCCATTCGCCCTTCCCCTAGCTCTCTCACTCAGTTTGGGGGTCCGTTTATCCCTTGAGGCACTGCTGGAGGCGCCATAGTTTAATCTGTTGATTTTCAGAGCAATCAAAAAATATCCTTGCGTAAGTGACAGGATAAACGACTGTTTATTTAATTTAAAAGCTACAGTTTTAAAAAGTGATCAAGCACCTGTTTCTAGAAGTTTCCAACATTTATTTGTGAGATATCTTCTCACTACAAAAAAAAAAGTTTTTTCTCATTTGATAGTCCAATGCCAAATCTTGTGACCTTAAAAAATTTAGAATAAAAAAATATATTTAGAATAGGGCCCTCCCTGGTGGCACAACAGGTTAAAGCGCAGCAATAAGAAGCTATTACAGCCACTGCAGCACGAGTTCGATCCCCAGCCAGGGAGCTGGCCACAGGGCACAGCCGACCTCTCCTGACCCGCCCACTGCTCCCCTCAGCAGTGTGCTTCAGTGGATCTGTCTGTTCTGCTCCCCACTCAGTCTCTGGTGAGTCCTCTCACCCCTGCACCTCTGGCCTGTATCCCAGCTCTGCGTGCATAGATAAATAAATCTCTTTTTTTATTTAGATTAAGGAGCATAAATGTGCAGCTTTCTATCCCACACAATGGGGCCTTGACTTACAAGCAGATACTGCCAAGATCTGCCATGAGCCACAGTGTGGCCTTGGGCTTATCATTTTTACCCTCTAATCCTGCTTCTATTTCTATGAAAGTGTTACATTAGATTATTTCTAAGTTTTCTTCTGCCTCTAGCAGAATAATGTAACATTCTTTAAATATGAAAAAAGATCTCTGAAGCCTGAGGTTACTGCATAATTAAGAATTTCACTTTGTTGCTAGTGTTTACCATTATAGCCTAAAAAAAAGAATCCTTAGATAATATATGCAAAATAACTACATAAAACATGCCATCAACTCCTTAACAAACATATGTACAGTACCTACTGTGTGCTAGTTAGGTACAAGCATTTGAAATATTAGTATTTTGTGAATGATTCTGAGTGAATGTTGGCTGACTGGAGATTAGAGTAATTGCCTGCCTAATAAACACTAAATGCGATAGAAAACAGAACATGGGGAGTTTAGTGTAGGGTTATATGTCTTCAGAACTCAGTGATGCTCTAAACTAATTTTATAATTAGGTGGGTATTTTTAGCTTATTTTTTCAGTTGGAAGGTTTTATTACCTTCATCTCAACATATGTATTTCACTTGAATATTTTCTGATTTAAAAAAAAGAATCTTTTCCCCTTGGGGCAGGGACATGTGACAATATCAGCCTCCACTGAGTGCCCTTCCAGCTGGGGGGGGCCGAGGACACCATGCCCAAGGGCAGGCCCAGGCCCCCCCACAGTGCAGAAGGATGGGTAAGCTGCGAGGGGAACCCCTGGCTCAGCGGAAGGGTGGGCCCATCACAGGCACTTCTGGGGCCAGGCAATGGGGATCGGATCCCTGTACTTGCAGAAGCCTAAAATCTGAAAAAGCACATGGTAATACCAAAGCCTGGAAAGAAGGAGGGTGGGGGCACTGCAGTGGCCCTGAGCCTGCAGGCAAGCGCTGGTAAAGGCCCCTGGCAAGGCCAGGGGCACAGAACTCCCCCTGGGAGTTTTTAGCAGGGAGGGACAGAAGCAGATCCACCGTTCAGAAAGGGGCAGACAGAGAGAAGGACACATGGGGAGGTCCAGGTAAGGGGGAGAGGGGTGCTTTCAAGGACTTTGGCGATGTAGGGGCTCAGCAAAGCATCAATAACGGGCTGCCTGGAGGTAAGGGAGAGGGTGAGGCTGGCTCGCGTGCTCTCCCTGCTTCCCTGAGTCTGCTGGGGGCGTGCAGAGGTGTGAGTGCGTGCTAGAGTCGCCCACGTGAGATGGCCAGTTGCACATGATTGCAGAGGCCGAGAGGGCCAATCTGAAGATACGTGCGGATGCATCGAGGGGGGGTTACTGGCCCGAAGAGTGGACGGAGCCTGTCACAGATACTCTGAACCCTTCAGGACATGAGGTCAGACCAGTCTATTCTGCCTCGTGGGGGGACTAGAGCTAAGTAGGGATGGATCTCGGGGCACCCTGGCAGCCCTTCCTGGAGTCAGAGCTGGGGGGAGTGGGAGGCAGCAGGGGGCCCCCTACCGTGTCTGGCGAGGGGAGTCCCCTTCCAGCAGAGAGCCCCCAGCTCTAAGCTGCTTTCTCTGCTTTCCCTTCCGGCTCCCCTTAGCAGGCTGCCAGGTTCAAGGCCTCTGGTGGGGGCATCCAGTGAAGACCAGCTTCTAACCAGCAGCAACCAGAAACACTGGCGCCCCAAACCCCAAGACTTTGCTAATTTAGACAAATGCCCGAGGGTGGGATGTGCAGAGGAATGTGCAAATTTTCCATGTTGCTCTGCACCCCACTCCCCACCCCGCAAGTGTCCTGGGGCCCCCAAACACGGGCACCGGCACTGGCCGCAGACAGGCCATGGACACCCGCCAGTGCCCACTGAAGGGAGCGGCGGACCCGCCGGGACACGGAGCGCGTTGTGTGGCGGGAGGGGATCCCCTCTGCCTTTCCGCCCGTCACCCCCGGTCATCGCCAGCCTCTCGGCTCCAGCACCCGCTTCAGCGCCACCTTGGGCCCCCTGCAGATGCCACGAGGCCATGGGGGAGGGTCAGCCGCTGGAGGTTTGGGGGGCACCGTGTTTCTCTCGCTCTCCCGCACCTAGCCAGGGGGTCGCCGGCGGCGGCCAGACGGGCCCTGACCGGGCCTCGGTGCCGCCCCTCTCCACAGCCAGAGCCGGAGCGAGGCACCCCGCTCCCGCCGTCTCTGCCTCGCGCCAGTCAGACAGAGGCACCCCCGCGGAGACGCACCCCCCAGGCGAGGCTGAGGCCGGGCGGCAGAGGCGGGGTCGGAG